ATAGCTCCTCAATTGTTAATACGTAAGCAGTATTAGACCGGCACATGCATATTTTTCTCCCTTGTTTTGTATACTTTAAATGTCTGTTAAATGTGTACATCAAATAAATAGTTCTTTCTTTCTTAATGAGGGCTTATAATTTTCTGCTCAGCAGATGTCGCTAGTTGAAAGTGAGGTAAAGTTTTTTGTTAGGCAATGTAATTTAATTGAGAAGTTGTTTTTTAATAAAAGTTTATCAGTTTTTAAAGTATTATATTACACTAGTCAGTCAGTGGTTTGCTCTTTAATTTTTTGCACATTATTAACTTTTTTTTTAATTTTTCTACTTTTATGAATATCAGTGGTTTGGTTTATTTATTTTTAATGTTATTAATATAAAATATAGCTATAGTACAAAAAGAAACAATAACTTTTACATTTTCCGAACAAATTAACTTCCCCGCTATGAAATCTGTCAAATATTATGCCTCATTTTCTAGTGGCGCCACTCTGGTGGCAGGAAAAGTCGTGGATTTCCATTCACGTTGGACGAAGATATCGTATTTTAGCATTGGAGTAATATGTATTACAAACTAGACACGCCAAGACTATCGTTTGCAAAACGCGTTAGTGCCCGCGGGCTCTAACTTACTTAGTCTTTGTCATAAAATGTACTAGAACAGACACTGAGACTGTCGTTTGTCAAAACGCTTTAGAGCCCTCGGGCTCTAACTTACTTAGTCTTTGTCATAAAATGTACTAGAACAGAGCGAGACTGTCTTTTGCAAAACGCGTTAGAGCCCGCGGGCTCAATCTTAGTTTTTGTCATAAAATGTACTAGAACAGAGCGAGATTGTCTTTTGCAAAACGCGTTAGAGCCCGCGGGCTCAATCTTAGTTTTTGTCATAAAATGTACTAGAACAGACACTGAGACTGTCGTTTGTCAAAACGCTTTAGAGCCCTCGGGCTCTAACTTACTTAGTCTTTGTCATAAAATGTACTAGAACAGACCGGGTCGCTTGCAAAATGCGTTAGAGCCCGCGGGCCCAAACTTACTTAGTTTTTGTCATAAAATGTACTTGAACAGACGCCAAGACTGTCGTTTGCAAAACGCGTTAGAGCCTGCAGGCTCAAACTTACTTAGTCTTTGTCATAAAATGTACTAGAACAGACCGAGACTGTCTTTTGCAAAACGCGTTAGAGCCCGCGGGCTCAAACTTACTTAGTCTTTGTCATAAAATGTACTTGAACAGACGCCAAGACCGTCGTTTGCAAAACGCGTTAGAGGCCGCGGGCTCAAACTTACATCTTTGTCATAAAATGTACTTGAAGAGACACCAAGACCGTCGTTTGCAAAACGCATTAGAGGCCGCGGGCTCAAACTTACTTAGTCTTTGTCATAAAATGTACTTAAACAGACGGCAAGACCGTCGTTTGCAAAACGCGTTAGAGGGCGCGGGCTCAAACTTACTTAGTCTTTGCCATAAAAAGGTACTCTATGCCTACCACGCATCCCGCACTCCCGCTCAGATTTTGTTCATGGTTTTTGTTGTAGTACGTAGAACATATTACTTCAAATATATGGACACGATTTTACAATTTTTAAGTGTTGGTGGACATTTATTGTATACCTCTCCAAGTTTTTAACGGTGGTAAAGCCACGCAGCAGTTTTTGCTGTTGCACGTATGGGCCGGCTCGAGCCGGGTTGGTACCACGATCTCACAGAATACCGGCGTGAAGTAGAAGCTCTGTTTCTGCGTTTCGTCTGGTGAGTGCAGGTGGCCGGAGGCCCAATTCCCCCCCTCCCCCCCCCCCATCAACATGGTAGCGGAATTACACAATAGACTACCCCAGGAGGGTACCAGTACCCCTGGAGAATCCCTCGCTGAGCATCCACGACTATGTTATTCCAATCCTGAGCGTGGGTGCTCAGGCTGCCCCGCGTATTCTTGGGGGGGGGGGGGGGGGGGGGGGCAAAATTCCGCTCATAAACATAACTGCTCGGGGCAAACTGAGCAACAATACCAAGGCGACCCCTGACACGCTATCCGTGAATTTCTGCAACATCAGGGGACTTCACTCTAACCTAAACGCCGTCCACTACCATCTCGAGACGGCGAAGCCGGCCTTGCTCTTTCTGACCGAGACGCAGGTTTCCTCTCCGGCTGATATTTCGTATCTCTCCTACCCTGGGTACAAATTGGAGCACTCCTTTGTGCCTCGGACTGAAGTTTTCGTGTATGTCAGAGAGGACATCTGTTCTCGACGCCTCGGCAGTCTTGAAGGTTCGGACCTACCTGTCCATCCTTTGGTTACGCGTAGACTGCGACGACCATCCGCGCGTCTACGGGTGCCTCTATAGGTCCCATAGCGGTAATGCCGAAACAGACCGACTCATCGACCACGTCCAAATGGCTACAGATTCCTTGCTACAACAGGTCCCATCCGCAGAGATCGTGATCCTTGGCGATTTTAACGCCCACCACGCCGAATGGCTCGGTTCACGTTTAACCGATCATGCGGGGAGATCTGTTTATGACTTTGCCTTGGCATATGGTCTGACACAACTGGTTACTTCGCCTACGCGGATTCCAGATGTGGAGGATCACACACCTTCCCTGTTGGACCTTCTGCTGACCTCTCATCCGGACGGATATCAGGTTTCCGTCGATGCCCCTCTCGGCTCTTCGGACCATTGTCTGATCCGGAGTGTGGTGCCACTCACGCTCCCCTCGCGGTTGCGTTCTGCAGGTTGCCACCGTTTGACATTACAGGTCGGCGGATTGGGACGGAATGCGCTCTTTCTTTGCTTCCTACCCATGGGGCCGGGTTTGCTTCTCGCCGGATGATCCCAACGCTGTTGCTGACTCTGTCACTGATGTGGTGTTACAGGGAATGGAACTATTTATTCCATCATCTGTGGTACCCATCGGAGGCAGATCTCAGCCTTGGTTTGGTCGCTCCTGTAAGACTGCATTACGCAGTAAGCAGGAGTGTTATCAAGCCTGGGCTGCGGCTTCGGTGACTCGGGATGTAAACACCAGCACACTTAAAAAGAAGTCTAACTTCGCCTCCAGGTCCTTCAAAAGAGTTATTGCCAAGGCAAAGTCAGAGCACATAGGCAGAATTGGCGAGAAACTAGTTCGCCTTCCTTCGGGAACCCGTGCATTTTGGTCTCTCGCCAAGGCTGTCCAAGGGAATTTCTGTAAGCCATCACTACCATCTCTGCACAGGGAGGACGACTAATTGGCCCAAGACGCAAAAGACAAAGCTGACCTTTTAGGCTCCCTTTTTACGTCCAACTCGACTCTTGATGACGGGGGGAAAACACCGCCGACCATCCCGCGGTATGAGTGCTCCATGACAGATGTGCTGTTCTCACAGCGCTCGGTTCGCAAAGCACTTCTCTTCCTGGACATCCAGAAGTCGAGTGGGCCTCACGGAATCCCCCCAATTGTGCTGAGGACGTGTGCTCCGGAGTTGGCACCGGTCCTAACGCGTCTTTTCCGGTACTCCTACTCCCAAGGCGTAGTCCCGAACTCATGGAAGACAGCTATTGTCCACCCGATCCCTAAAAAAGGCGACCGCTCAGACCCGTCCAACTATAGGCCTATCGCTATCACCTCCTTGTTCTCCAAAATAATGGAATCAGTTATTAACTGTCAGCTCATGAGGTAGTACCTTGAGGTTCACCAGCTGATTAGTGATCGACGATCTTCTGGCTGGCGTTGGCCGTTAGTCTGGACATTGCGAAGGCCTTCGATCGGGTTTGGCACAAAGCGCTTCTTTCGAAGCTCCATTCCTATGGGTTTCCCGAGAAATTGTGCATTGGATCACCAGCTTCCTTGCAGATCGGAGCATCAAGGTTGTTGTAGACGGTGCATGTTCTGACTACAAGCCTATTAACGCTGGTGTTCCACAAGGCTGTGTGCTATCACCAACGCTGTTTCTTCTGCATATCAATTATATGTTGCTAACTGATAACATTCATTTCTATGCGGATGACAGCACTGGTGATGCTCTATACACCGGTCGTGCCAATATTTCTCGGGAAAACGTCGCCGAGTACCGGAACAAACTTGTGTCTGAAGTCGAGTCTTTGCTGAACAAAGTCTCGGATTGGGGGCGACTAAATCTAGTCCAGTTTAATCCTCAGAAGACACAAGTTTGCGCGTTTACCGCTAAAAAGTTTGTCGTATCTCCTCAGTTTCAAGGCACTCCCCTTCTTGCCTCAGCCAGTATCGGTATTCTCGGAGTCGACATATCGAGTGACGTGCAGTTTCGTGGTCACTTGGAAGAGAAGGCCAAATTGGCCTCTAAAAAGCTTGGCGTGCTCAGCAGAGCGGGACAGTATTTCATGCCGGCACACCGCCTGCAACTTTACAAGGCGCAGGTTCGGCCTCAAATGGAATACTGTTCCCATCTCTGGGCAGGGGCTCCCCAGTGCCAGCTCCTTCCACTTGACCGCATCCAGCGCAGAGCGGCTCGAATCGTCGACGACGGAGCCCTTTCCGATCGGCTCGATTCATTGGCACTGCGAAGAGATGTTGCATCCCTTTGCATTTTCTTTCGCATCTACCATGGGGAGTGCTCTGAGGAATTGTTCGGATTAATCCCAGCCGCCAAATTTCACGAACGCACATCGCGGCAGAACTCCCGATACCAGCCACACCATCTGGATGATTGGCGGTCCACCACTGTGCGATTTAGAAGATGTTTTCTTCCTCGCACAACTTCCTTGTGGAATCGATTACCATCAGCGATTTTTCCGGACCGATACGACTTAGGGACCTTCAAGAAAAGAGCGTACTCCTTTTTAAAAGGCCGGCAAGGCATCTGCAATTCCCTTCCTGGTGTTGCAGTTATTCATGGGCGGCGGTAGTCACTTACCATCAGGTGAGCCGCATGCTCGTTTGCCCCCTCTCCTATAAAAAAAAATTCTAGTAAGTACTATTGAATAAGTTTTTGGAGTTAATGATGATGAATAAGAAGCTTAGATTAATAAATTGATTTTTCTTACCAGCGGAATTAAACTGGAAGTTCTGCAGATGTTCATATATAACTCTGTGTAAACGGACTGCAAGCTCCAAAGTAACTGCGTGCAGATTGTCACCATCAAGGCTTGCATATATCTTGTCCATGACTGAGTTTATATACGAAACTACCGTCAAACATGCCTGAGAGAAAAAAAAAGGTTTTAAAATGTTTAATTATGCACACGTACACAATAATTAACAAGTGAGATAGAATAATACATGTGATAAGAATAAAAGGATTTTTTACTATAAAAGATGGTAAGTGCCAATAGATATTTCATATTATGAAGAATCAAAATGCATTTTTATGCTATTATAATGTGCTTATTTCTTACAGAAAATCTGCAACTGTTTCTTACAGAGTATGTGTAAAGAGAAAAGAAGATTGATCTGTCAGATTATGTTTTCATATTTTCTGATATTGTAACAAGTCTACCCTTAAAATTACTTTAAAAATGGAGGAGGTACTGAATTCAACGGAATACTTTTTTATGTATGTTCAGCGATAATTCTTTACCGCGTTACCAAATTTCAAAGTTTTATTTTGTTAATAAATGGGTATTTCAAGGGTGGTACCAAATAAATTTGATCAAGATCGGATGACGGGACCATGCGAAAATCATTAAACTTCAATTTATAAAGGCACGACATATGATCGAATAATTCTTTACTACGTCAACCGTACCGTTACAACCTATTAAAGTCCACTGTCGAATATAGGCCTTTCCCTATAGATTGCCTCATAGGAGGCATATTTGACATAGTTGCCACGCTTGGTGGGTTTGTAACCGCATTTTATATTTTTAGTCTTTATAAGAAAGACGCTGCTGCCTATGTCTTGACTTGATTTCCTCTGTCTCCTCTGTCCCCACGGAATAAGGAGTAGTGGGTATTCTTACACTGCTATCACAAGGTAAACGATTGATAATTATATTTAATTAGTCATTTATGCACACATTTCAGCACTCATGGTCCCCCCCGTGACCATGAGTGCTGTAAAGCAACCGAAACGTCGGGAATAAAAAAGTTAAAATTAAACGCGATATAATCCATAAAATTAGTTTCATTTAATGTATAGTCTTCGCGTAAATATAAGAAAACATTAGTCTTTTATTTTTTAGAAAAATTAATTTTGGTCAGTAAAAACTTACAGAGGAGGCAATGGTGTCTATGTCGCCTTCAGGCTTGAAATCGGTTTTCTTTTGCTCCGTCTGCAGATGTAACTTAACCCAGCCCACTATAGCTGCGATGGCCCTTTCAAGGCCAGCGTCTAATTTATTTTCCAGCTGCTCCATCACTGCAGTTTTTTTCTGGACGCATTCGCTTTGTTTTGACGTTGAACTTAAACAAATAGTGCGATTATTATCTTATGCTAGAAATACCATTAAAGAAATAAGAAATTCAACAATCGATACAATTTCAATAAAAATTTGTTCAAAACAAGTATCTTTATTTCACTATTAGCAAAGAAAGATTTTAAAGATACATACCTCAGGCATGATAAAATAGATTCTTGAAAGTGCTCTCCAAACATTTTCACTATTTTATTTGTCTGGTCAACTATTTCAAAGAAGTAGATCTGAAATAAAAATAGGATTACGAAGCACATAATTGACACCTGATAAACATAATATACAAATACAACGTATACGCGCACACATACATACGTACGCATCGACGCACATGCCCACACACATACACAACTAATATACAAACTAAAGGATAGAATTTTCGCCATCAGTCGGTCGCAAATTTTATTTATTTTTAGATATTTTTCTTATATTTTTATGTATACTAAAAAGTAAGTTTTGGTGAGAAAATAAACAATTAAACCTTAAGAGGATTGTGAAGTGCCGATACGCGACGGGAGTGGGTATTTTCAAAAATGCTCTTTTTCATACCGCTCGCTCCGTATCGTCGATTCGTGCGATAGAGAGAGTTGCAAGTCTTGGATGCAATTGCCTACATTTCCTTTTTGAAATACTGTTTCGGGCTACAACGTTTTCGCCACCCTAAAACTTTACGAAACGAGTTAATTTTGGTCTCATTATATTCAGTAGAACATCTAGGTCTGTACGTTTTTTCTTTTTTGATAGTTTAGTTATCATAAAAAAAAACGCTCGAGGAAGGTTATTAGTCAAAAATATAGAAATTTAGATGCTAATTACTTATACTGTATGCAATATTTCTTTAAAAAAGTACGGACCTAGCTTTCATTATATCTACAACATTCCAAAAATTATGAAAATTAGATCATGTTTACGGGTTGGACGTATACGTTAACTTTTTTTATTAAAATTTACAGCTTTACAATTATCTTAATTTAATTTTTTTTTTAAATCCAATTATGAATTTATATATATTTTCCATTTAAGGCATGGTAACAACTTCATTTTTCTAAGTGGTAAAGCTTATCTACAACACAATACAAAGCAACACCACAGAAATGCCCCCCAAGGTGGCTAGTCACCGTGGGTAAAGTCGACTACTACCCTCCAATTAAATTGTTTTTAAACTCATACGCTTTATAAAAGAACGTTGCTAAAATAGTAGTAACACTATATAAAGCAACATATAATCACACTCTTCATAACTCTTCAATTACCAGTGTCATCTGTAGGTGACAGATGTTTAACATTTTTTTTTTCTATAATATGATAATTTTGTTTTTGTATCTCACCATTATTACTACAAAGATAATTAGTCATTTAATTAAATGTAATTTTATTACAACACTAACTAAACGTCATTTGTAGAATTCATTTAATTCATTCGTGCGTATTTGGACTTTTCTGAGTAAGTGTGATTTCTTGCAATATAAGCCGAGATAAAAATGTCCACATCGTAAGTATTGTTATTTTTCATACTGCACATGATAAATGAATATATTAGCTGTAATATTAATGCAATTTAAAATAAAAATAATGTACATAATATACTATATTCATTACAACGCTCAAAATATGACGTGTCACCTGTAGGTGACACTGGGCATTATTTGTCATCACAACTATTGGTTTCTTTTAGATTGCTTTGTAGTAGTGGATGGAATTTGGGAGCGTTTGTTTGTTTGTTTGCGTATAGTTTACGTTTTACGGGTTGACGTTAGATGAGTTTGCTGAGGAGTTCGCAAGTGGGGAGGACCCAGGGAATATTATTTTAGTTCCTCCTGATGATGGTATGGTAACTGACGAAGACAGTGGGGATGAAATCGAGGCACATGTTGTTTATCTTCCTAATTGTATGCTTCAGTCTCAAGTAGAATTACAGAGTAGACCTTCTGACTCAGAGAAAAATAAATGACCAGGAAGTAGAAGAAAAAAGTCAAGGTTTCTACACCAAAGAAAAAATATAAAAAAAATACTATAAAAAGGTAGTACACCAACGCTTTTTTACTACTTGTGGTAAAGAAGACTGTAACGTAGAAGTTTTTATACACTTATAGAAGGAAATAACAGCCCTCAAGATGCTCCTCCTCCATCCCATCTCCATCATCTCCTCCTCCAGATGGAACTCCTATCTAGAATACCAAAAGTCCTATCTAGAATTGGGACAGTAAAACTTTTTAACTGGTTAAATGCCAAAGTATTTACGAGAGCAACTAAATAAATAACATGACAAGTGTATCACCACATTGCATCTAACTGCCACGGATTGAGTCTTGTCACAAAATTAGATCATATTGGAAATGTAAATAAAAAGCGATCGAAAATTAGAGTGGTTTGCCCAGCTATTATCAGGATATAACAAAAATATGGGTAAAGTAATCCATTTTGAATTTTCTGATAAAAGTGGTGGTATCCTGTTTGATTTTGGTATAGACGCTGCTTGCCAAAATAACTGGACTGTGATTTTCGCAGAAACATTGCTACTATCTACCTGGAAACATAATATGATAAGCCTCCAACCCATGATTATGCCTGTGGAGTTCCAGTCGAGATTAGAGTGCCTGGTGAGGTGAGGTCTGCAGGTATTGCCAATGACCATGTAGAAGTTGTCCGTTCGCAGCGGCGATGTGGATATTGTCATCAACGTACGCAAAAAATATGCGTAAGTACAATATTGTTTTGCATCTAAAGTTCTAGTATATGTTCCATGGTAATAAAACGCTTCTTTTTTATATGTCAATAAATATTCCTTTTACAAAAACGGATGTTTTATCCCTACAGAAAGAAAACGTTAACTTTATGAACTGTTTAAATAATGCCCAGTGTCACCTGTAGGTGACACGCCTATAAAAAATAAGTGGGGGTAGTTGCCTTATTTTTATATATTTTTTTTTGGTCTATACTAAATGTATCTGTGCCATATAGTAACAGAAAGTATTATTTTTTTGATAAACATAGGCATGGGAATTGAAGAGTTAAGAACTAACAAAAGTTTGTCGGAACTGATATCAGCTTAAAAAATATAAACTTGTCAATAGTAGGAATGAGTGAAGAAAAGTATTTTAAAGGGGAAAGTATAGAAGATCATGTGGAATTTATTTTATATAATAAAGGGGAAACACTAGGTAAATTTGAAGTAGGTATTTTGATTAGCTGTGTAGTGGCGGTTAAGAATATCCACTACCCCATATCTTTCCGTGTGTGTCGTAAAAGTCGACATAGGGAAACAGGCAGGAGATGGGCAGCAGCATCTTCCAGATAGTAGCCAAAATTACAATAAAAAAGAACTGCGGTTGCTAACCCGCTCGCCAAGCGTGGCAACTATGGCAATATACCCCCCATGAGCAATGACAATAATTAACGGCCCCCAGTCCCCGGCGGCCCGCTATTCCTGGCTACGGTGGCGACTATGGTAACGGCGGGGCAGGGGGTGCTAAGCATCTCCGGTGGAGGTTCGGTTGCCACCTAAGACGACTCGATCTGGCAACATACAACGCACGCACCCTGAGGACTGAAGAGAAGATCGTAGAGCTGGAAGAAGAGATAGACAAGTTACGCTGGCACATTATAGGATTATCCGAGTTCCGAAGAGAGGGGATGACACGGTAATCCTCGAATCCGGTAACTTGCTCTATCACCGAGAGGGCGACCATCTGTCCCAAGGAGGTGTCGGTTTTATCGTCCACAAGTCTCTCGTTAACAACGTTGTAAAGATTGAGTGTGTCGGCGAGGGTTGCGTACCTTATATTCAGAATCACCAAACGGTATTCGCTGAAGGTCATACAGGTTTACGCACCAACCTCGGCACACCCCGATGAGGAGGTGGAGGAAATGTATGAGGATATCTCTAGAGCCATGCATTCTACTAAAACCCACTATACTGTGTTAATGGGAGACTTCAATGCAAAACTAGGCACAAGAGAGAACGGTGAGCTGAAAGTAGGGAAATTTGGAATAGGGCAACGGAACCCAAGGGGCCAGCAGCTGGCCGACTTCATGGAGAAATGACGGCTTCGTGGCTCAGTGGCTTAGCAATGAGTTGTTGCGCTGGGGGCTGCGGGTTCGAATCCCGCACGGAACAAATATTTGTATGGCCTACAAGTAATTGTTCCGGGTCTGGATGTTTGTCCTCGTGCAATCTATGTTAGTAAACTGCCTCCACGATACAAGAGAAAATCCTAGTGTGGGGGTAACGTTTTTCTAAAATAAAAATAAAAAAATAAAAAAAATAAGAAAGAGGGACTCCTTATGATGAACTCTTTCTTCCAAAAGCGGCCCCACAGGAAGTGGACCTGGTTGAGCACCGACTGTTCGACAAAAAATGAGATTGACTTCATTATGACGACCAGACGACAACTGTTCAGTGATGTCTCCGTGATCGCGAGGGTGAAAACTGGTAGCGGTCACAAAATGGTTAGAGGCACACTGAACCTAAACGTTAAGTTGGAGAGGTCTCGTCTAATGAAGTCAACGCTCCGTCCCCCTCGTGCTCTGTTCCAAAGTTCCGAAACCTTTCAGCTCGAGTTACAAAACCGTTTTCAGATCCTAGAAGACTGCAATGAAGTGAACGATATGAATGACAAACTCGTGGAAACTGTCCATGGGGTCGGAGCTAAGTACTGCAAGACCCGCCGCAGAAGAACACAAAAACTCTCCGATCACACTCTTAATCTCATGGCTGTTAGACGGGAGATGAAGCTACATTCTTCAACAGATTTGACAGCATACAGGCAACTGAACAGACAGATCTCTAATTGCATGCGGCGGGACTTACGCAACTTCAATACAGCTTGTATTGAAGAAGCGATCGAGCGGAACCAAGGCTCCAAATTTCTTCTCCAAGGCTCTTTGCCAGCGATCTGTCTGCCAGAAAGAGCCAACTGTCAAAGCCGAGGACCGAGTGTGGCAGCATCGTTTCCGGGGCACCTGAGATTTTGAGTGAGATTGAGAGGTACTATGGGCAGCTGTACACGTCATCGTTGGAGCCACACGCAAGTGTGAGTAACGATCCAAGAGCGAGTCTTATCCGACACTATTCCGAAGATATCCCGGACAATTCAATTCGCATATGAAAACTACCTCAAAATACTAAGCAACCAACACAACAATCGATACAAACAATATAATATCTCCTGATGGTCATCATAAAAACGTAATTGATTATATTTTAATTAACAGGTCACCAACAACT